TAAATATCGTCCCCATTCACCTGTAACGTAATACTTCGCCTTATAGATAATCATTACTTATCTATCAATAAAAATTATGTAATGTAAATTGACGATCTATAACCTTATTTATAATATGATATTTGATGTGATCATCGAGTGTATTAGTACACGTTATACTATAGATGAACCCAAATTCAATAGCATGAAAAAATGTTATAAATTTAAGTTCAAGCAATAATATAGAAATTGTAATAGCCCAGATAGGTGTTGTAGAGAATTGTAACAAATTAATAGATATTAATACAGAAAATAATATTGCTCCTATATCTTAAAACATAATATTATTAGTTAAACAAGATTATTTATAAATTTATTATATAAGCAAAAATAAAATATAAATACCAAAATAATTCCAAATTTCAGTGAACCAATCTAGAGGAAATAATATAAATTGCCGAATTTCAAAAGTAAGATGTAAACCTCCAAAAATAATAGTTATAATTAATAGTAAATTTTGAATATTATTTGATAATTCTTCAATTGTAACAGCTATCAAAAAACTAAGCATAAAAATAAGATAAAAAACAAAAATAGCAAAAAAATAATATTTTCTATAAGTATTCCATTTAAAATTAAGAAGAGCTTCACCACACCAATATTTATAAAGTTCAGGAAATTGATGTCTAGAAAAAATACTATGTTTAGAAAAAATTAATTCTTTCCAAAAATTATATATAGCAGGATAAGAACTAAATTTTGGAAATAGAAAAATTAAAATTATTGCTTAAAAATTTTTATAAAATATTTTTTTATTTTTTCTGATATATTTTTTATATAAGTAGAAATTTTTATTTTTGAGTCTAATAAAATAAAAGGTTGCTAATTTTTTCAGTAATATTACTAGTAAAATAAGGTTGTAAATATTTTATGACTTTGAAGATGTGGTTCTGAGAAAAATTTGGTAAACTTAATTTTTTCATAGTTACTAGGTGAGTGAATAAATAAAGTATAAGATAAACATTTTTTTAATAATTGAGGATATTGAGTTAATTCTTCAAATGAAAAGGCTAAAATATCTAATAATTGAATCTTCTCTAAAAAATTATTTTTTCTGTTTTTTCATATATTTTATTACATAATTTCTCTGCAAATAGATAGAATTGATATTTTAAAAAACCTTTTAAAAAATCTTCTCCATATAATTTTATTAAATTTGTTTTATTGCATATTTTATTACATAATCTTTCTGCTAATGAGTAATGTTTAAACTTTAAGCAAAATTCCAAAAGTTCTTGTCTATATAATTTTATTAATGTATTAACTTCTATATAATTATCTAATAAGTTATCTAGCAATTCTTTAAGAAGTAATCCTGTATATGATTGTTTATACTTATAAAGAAAATCAAAATCTGGGGCTGGCAATAAACTTTTTTATTGATCTGTATCTTATTTAATAAATTTATAAAGCATGAATTTTTTAAATCTAAGTAACTGAACCAACTCCCATAAGACATAAAATACAACTTTGCAAAAATCTGTCAAAATTGAACTTGCTAAAAATAAGCAATTTAACGGTGCTGATAATGTACTATTAAAATACAAACTTTTACAAATTTAAGCATCTTATTAGTATTTTATTATTATAATTTAATTTTATAAATATAATTGCCAATTATTATGCTAATAAAATGCTGATATTAGCAATATATTATCAATAGTTTAGTAATAATAAAAGCCTAAAAATTATCATTATTTAACCAATTTATTAGGTATTTAAAAATGCTCATAATAAAATAATCTTGTAATAAATTATTAAAATTGCTAACTTAATACCAATAATGCACTTTATCCGACATTTTATATGATCATGTGAATTTTTTTGCCATGATATTTTTTATATGAAATTACATAATCAGTTTTGCAAAATATCAGAAAAAACTTAACATGGTCATACTAACTATCGGATAACATCATTATTGAACGTACGTACGACAAATAACAGGCAAGTTTTTTTTCAACAGAGTTAATTTCACTCATGTGCTACTACGCAGCACATGGAGTGACATTAACTATGACAAAAAAAAATTTCCTGTTATTTTTTGTCGTCTGTCCAATAATATACTTATATCGCTTATTATTGGCAAATTTTTGGCAAGTAATTGCATATCTCGAAATTGTTAGATTTTTGCAAAGAATACTCAAATTTTTTATCTTTTTGCCAAGTTGACTATATAAATAAGCCAAATGATGCAATCACTGCTAAATCATCATTATGTAACAAATCACAACTACAAATATACATAAGTGCATTCCATGTTGCTTTAGAATAAGTTAGCAAAAAACCTTCTAATTTTATACTATCTACATCTTCCCAAGCATTTGAATCAATTTTTTTAAAAACTGAATTATATTTTCCTCACCATTTACTTCCCAATTTACTGATGATCCTTCATAGGATTTCATTTCTTTTATCCTATTGTCACGTGTATAATTATTATCTTTGCTTATAAGTTTTTGCAGTATCTTCTCTATTTGAGATTTTTTAGGTAGAACTCTTATTTTATTAGAACCTTGTAATCTTTTTTGTAAATATTCAATTCATTGTTTTTAGAAATGTTTTGAACCTGTAAACATCCCTCTAACATATAGTATATTTTTTCATCTATCAATTTTATGAATTCTTCACTGAAAATATCTAATTTGTTGAAACCTCATTATTTAAAAGTTCTTTATACAGATTTGAAATAGATTCATTCTCAATAACATGTTGAAGTTTGTAAGGATCTCTTATATCAAGTTTATCATCAAAATCAAATAAAAGTAACCTTCTTCTTCATCGAATGAAATAAATCTAAAATCCGTTACTATTTTTTTTAGTTTCACCTATTAATTAATTATAATTATAAGTAAAACTATAATAACTAACCAGTGATATTTGTACTAAAGATATTTTGGAAAAGTTTCTACCATGATTCTAATTTGGAGTTAGGATTAGGGTTACATAAAAATTTTGAAGTTATTGCTTAGTATATCAAATACCGATTGTAGATAAACATCACTGGTTTAATTATTCGATTAAAAATATCGATAATTATACAGAAAGCAAACAATAGTACACAAATTTAAATAACCTACATTGTGATAAAAGCATCGAATTTTCTACAGAATAAACATAAATAATTCCATTGATAAAAGTTGCGCCATCAAATGAACCTGAGCATACTGCAAGTAATGTAGAATTTTTATTAAAAGTGTATGAATAAAACACTTGTTCGTAATTGGTTATAATATCTAATTGATATGTTTTTTCAATTGATAATGTATTTAAATTCTATTGTGTTAATGATCCATATTTATCAAAAAGCAGTATCTTTTTTTTGTTGATCGTATAATCTTCTACATCTCTAATTTTTCCACAGGAAATTGAATTATTAAATGTCCAGCTTTGCTTATCGTTATGTAAATTTTTAAATAAACCTTTAAGAATAAGGCAATAATTATTGCTGTTTGGTTGCCAATAATTCTTGATTATTGGTTGCATTACGAAATCTTCATTATTATAACATTCAGCTCTAATAACTGGTATAT